CACACTAATCTGACTTATTACCTTTCAATAAAGTTTAGAGCACACTAATCTGACTTATTACCTTTCAATAAAGTTTAGAGCACACTAATCTGACTTATTACCTTTCAATAAAGTTTAGAGCACACTAATCTGACTTATTACCTTTCAATAAAGTTTAAAGCACACTAATCTGACTTATTACCTTTCAATAAATAAGAAAGAGGCAACCAAATCAAAATAATACCAAACTGCTAACAAGTATTTGGTATTTACAAATCCAAATCAAACATTTTTGCCAAACATCAGAATTGCAATATACTTTAGATGAACAAAACTACTGAAGACGCCTACTTAGTTGGCGAAACGCGCCTCGAGAATAGTATATTGCAGTTCTGGTATTTGCTTATGCTCGTTTTGGATTTTTTCTTCGCCAGATGTTCCAGTTTAACTTTTCATTGAGGATGGAATAATTATAAACTCTAGTATTAACTTTTATTCAATTTGCTACACAGGGTGTTGTAAAAAAATCTTTTCTATTCTGAATTTGAGTATATTCTTCAAATAACTATTTGAGAGTCCCAAAACAATCCTCTGTAGAATTTTAAAAACAATCCTGCGCAGAGTATTTTTTAAAATACTCGTTTTGTACAGGATCACGGAAAAGAAACTCTCCTTTCTCTAAATTCATCTCATGGCATGCGTTCAAATGTTCATTGCTCAAAAACTTAATTCTATAGTAATTGCTCAGACCCGTCGATTTTTATTTCATCCCCAGCCCCCCCTAACTTCAGAATTTTCAATGGGACTACTATACTTGTATACTATACTTGTGAAACATCATTTTGAAGGGAATTCAATCCCAAATACACTGGTGTATTGAAATTGAGGATCGATCTATTGTTGTTGAAGTTTCAATTTACTGTTTAAAACATAATACCCGTATCGTTTCAAGGAATTACAAAAATGTTTTTAGACTCATCCCACAATGGGGAATGTTCCTCAATTTGGGTTATTACAGCAAATGCAAGTTTGAACAAAATAAAGTTGAGTTTAATTCATGAGTTTCTGAAATTCACTTTGAAAGGTATTCAAATTGATGTTTCAAATGTTGGGTTTTAATTTTTGAAGGGATTTGTTTCTAATTCACATATTGGCAACAGCGCCTAGAATTTATACGTACCTAGATATTCTACTTTAAAAAAGGAAAATGATCTTTATAAATCAACAATTAAGGCAAAATATAAATTATAGTTCAATACCACCTCCACAAGCCACATAAACAACAGTTGTTTT